GAGAGAGAGAGAGAGAGAGAGAGAGAGAGAGAGAGAGAGAGAGAGAGAGTGAAGGGGAGTTTTGCATGGCAACCGGGAGAGACTCTGATTTGGGCGCACCGAAATGTTATCGAACAGGGAGGGGCGGCGTGAGAGGGCTAAAGAGGGAGCCGCAGGGGATACCCGCGATCATAGAGTCTCAGAAAGCAAGGATTGGCAGGGGGAAAGGAGGGAGGTGGTATGCAGCCCAAGATTCATGGCCAGGGATTCCGAGATTGGATCGACGGCCGGTTTTCGAGACACCTCGCATCGGACGGATCCCATCGATCATTGCAGCAGTGAATTTTATGTCATTGATGATCATAATGAATTGCTACTAGTACGCGATTGGTCGAATCTCCCAACGGACGTTCTTGTGCTCATCTTCAGCCGTCTTGACGTGCGAGACAGGTGTCGTGCGGCAAGCGTGTGCCAGGGATGGCGGTGCGCATCTCTCGATCCCGCGTGTTGGAGACAAGCGGACCTGATGAGCATAGTAGACAGTGAGCACGCCGAGGAAGTAGCAAGGGGTATAATTCTGCGAAGTAGGGGTCAGGTAAGGTGTCTGTCTCTCCCAGAGTTCAGCGACTCGACGCTCGAGTGTATTGGAAAGCATTGCCCGCTTCTTGAAAAAGTTAAGTTATGTTCTCTCTGGAGGCGATGGCGGCTCGGCTCCTGCGATGCGTCGATCGAAAGTTTCCAACTGTTTGTTGAAGGCTGTCCTCAGCTTCGATCACTCGACCTTGGGCTAGGAGAGTACGAGCTGCTGGATTTTGTCAAGATCCTTGTGTCTGGGTTTCCTAATCTAGTCTCTCTGCACCTTTACGCTTTCGAGATCGATAGCGACGTTGTACGGCTGATTGTAGAACATTTACCTCGATTACAGACTCTGGCATTTCAAGGAGCTGATTTGATGGATGAGGACCTTTCTTTGATTGCCCATGGACTGCGCAGCTTACGCTATTTGTACCTCGGGCATGACGATAATCTTCCTCATCGGGCGATCGAGAAGATGCGGTCCGCTCGCCCAGATATTACGATCTCGACGGGCGGTTTCATACCGGACTCTTATCAGCCAATCACGATGATGGGAGGAGAAAGTATTGTGCACACGATGGATCTGTCTACACATTACCAGTGTACAAATTAGATAACGAATTTATGATTTTTTTATGTTATGAAATTGATATGTGTGTACAGCTCCTTTTTTTTAATTATTTTTTTATTTTATTTTATGGTTGTGTACAGATTTTGAACAACAGCAGTTGAGAGAGACTAATAATAACGACCATCACAATGTCCAATGACGGAGGATCTCTCTCTCTCTCTCTCTCTCTCTCTCTCTCTCTCTCTCTCTCGATCACTCTCTCTCTCTCGATCTTGATCTCGATCTCGATCTCGAGCAGATGGATAGGCCACAGAGAGAGACGTCAGACGAAGTTGAAGGGAACGGTGCAGACGATATGATATTCATGGATGGAGAAGTAAGAGCACGACTGTTGGTTTTCCTTGTACTTTATTTTCGTTTTCTCTTTCCAAAATTTTTCACCTTTTTTTTTCTTTTTTTTCTTTTTTCTTTTTTAGAGTCTGTTTTGAGAATCATCAAATTGATTGATTCAAGTATGCATTTGTTGTTGTTGACGTTTCGGGGGAAAGAGGGTGAGAGTGCAGCTGCTGTAGATTATGGGGCTTCCCGGCTTCATGGAGAGAAAAGCGCAGAGGCCTAAATTAATTAATGAATAAAATAAATTAAAAAGCAAAATAAGTAAGCCAAACAGAAGGGGATGTGGAGGAGGAAGGCCGAGTTGCGATGGGGACGATGAAGGGGAGAGTCAAGGGGGGTGGTATTGTTTGAATATGAGGAGGGAGGGAGGGAGGGGAGGGAGGGGAGGGAGGGAGTAAGAGAGCGGAAGGGCGGATAGGGCCGGAAGCGAAGGACTCCAATAGTCAGTCGTGATGGCCTCTGAGGGTGCAGGCACTTGAGGAATTCCTGGACCGAATCTGGGCGTCCTGAAAACTCCTGGTACGAGAAGGCCGTTCGGTGACTTGTTTCACTCAATGACATCTACCTAGAGTCCTAGACGGTGATCAACTACGTTCTTCCACCGAATACAACGCACGGTCATTATAGCTGTATTTAGACTGAATGACGCCCAAAATACAGCTATAATGACCGTGCGTTGTGATCGGGTGAAGAACGTCGACCACGAGTTGATGGGATTAGAGAATCACGACCACCTGGAAGATGGCCGCATAGTATTTTTTTTTTTACTATTTTCCTAGGGCAAATTGCAGAAATGCCGGTTTGGAGAAGTGAGAGACGTTTAACGGAGACGTTTAGCGGAGACGGTTAACGGAGACGGTTAACGGAGACCTCAATTTTCAGATCACTTGTCAGGCCATTTATAACAAAACCCAAGGGTCATTTTAAGCAAACTTGCCACCAATTCCTAGAGTGGAGATCATACTAAATACTTACAATTTTTTTAATTTTTTCTTTTAACCTTTAAAAACCTATAAAACGGCAAGGCAAAAGTGTGTTTTCATGCAAAATTCGCTCATTTCAGTTTTCAGGATTTTTAGGATTTGTCATGGCTGGCCACCACAGTAATCTCCAAGACGCCAACAAACACCAAACTTGGCACACACAGACCTTGACCAAAAATAAAACAGGGCAAAAAAAAACCAAAAAAAAAAAAAAAAAAAAAAAAACARAAAAAAAAAAACAAACGTGTGCGTGTGCTTTTACTTAACTAGAAGATTCTACTATCATTCTTAGACTAGAAATGACTGTCACACCTGCCATAATCCTTTATTAACCCTCGCTTCAAACTCCGCCACTACAGTGGTTGGCGTCGTTGGCTAGTGTTTGTTTAGTCTCGTTTGTGTACCGTGGTTGGCGTCTGGAAATTCCCCACCTGCAGCTCAAGTCTGCTTCACTCACCTACCTTCTTCACCCGAATACAACGTACAGTCATTATAGCTGAATTTGGCGTATCTTTCAGTCTAAATACATCTATAATGACCGTTCGTTGTATTCGGGGGAAGAAGGTAGTGAACACTGAACAAGCTCTCGTCTCGTAACCGTCAATACAGCCCACGCGCAAATCGTCTCTCGGTCTCCTGAACTTACTCTGAGTTTCCCTTTTGCTTCGTTAATATAATTGAGCGCCTGATCATCAGAAAGAGGCCACGACCGAGTTTCTTCGGGGGGGGGAACTAGGGGATAATTGGTGGAAAGCGCCCACGCGCAAACCTTTTTGGTTTCTCTTTTCCCGTTTGGTAAGAAGGGCCCACGGGGTACACAGGCGGTCGGATGTTAAAATCTGAAGGCCGAGATTGAGTCCGGACGGGTTGGCCCCTGCAAACCAGATCACGAATCCAGGCGCTGTGTCTGCGCCAGATCAAACTGAAACCGTGACAGCGCCCTAGTTCCCAGAATAATTGGTAGATAGCGCCCACGCCGAAGCCTTTTTTTTTTTTCCGTTTGTTTGTTTGAAATTTGGACCATTTCTCGATTTACGGTGTCATCCTTGCGGGGTGTTTGTTTTTTTGTTTTTACTTTTTATTCATTCTCTGTATGGTTCCAATTTTAACTGATGTCCGGAAGGACACCTTTTGGGTTTTGGCCGCAAGAAGTTTGGCGATTTGGTACGACCGGCCCAATGTCTTCCATGTGGGGTATTACAGGCCGGGATCATGAATCTGGCGCATAACAACGACAGATTCATTTTCCTGCAAAAGAGGCCGAGGGTGGTCCCGCTGAAATATAGGATGAGGCCCACGTACGGTATTTTGGAAAAGAAGGGCCCTACCGGTTCATGAATGAATCTGGCGTGCCATATTCATGAGCCGGTAAAAACCGGCCCAGCGAGCTGTGGCCACGGTGCGAATGCGCCTTTCACCCAGGCTGAATAAATGAGGGTCGTCTTTCACCCAGGCTGAAGACATTTGGGCCGCCTTTCAACCAGGGCTGAACACATTTGGGCCTCCTTTCAACCAGGCTGAAGACATTTGGGCCGCCTTTCACCCAGGCTGAAGACATGTGGGCGCCTTTCACCCAGGCTGAAGACAAACGGCCAAACTTTGGGCCGCCAAAACTGAAAAGGTTTTGGCGTGGGCGCTTTCTACACTTTATCCCATACACTTTCCACGGCCGGAATGATATCTCACAGTAATATATGCAGAGACTCATCAAATGATCAAAAGTGATCATCTATGCCGGCTGTTTGGTTGATCTTCTCAAAGCATACTATAGCCTGCCCTCGCACGAGGATGGCTGCACTGGATATGTCCTTTAGTTGGGTAGGATCTGAGTTGAAGTACTTAAGGCCAAGATGTGGCTGCACTGGCTGAGACTCTGGACATGCTTTTCTCTATAACTTCTCTTACTTTTCCAAGCCGAAGAAGTCTGGGCCCAGGGGCCGGGACCCACTAGCGCCGCATTATACGACATAGCCAGGTTTTCAACCATGTGTGTGTGGCAAAGAGTGATGCAGACAATCCGTTGGCCGACGGCAGTGAGGGGGGATTTTGTGGTATCGTTGTTTGAAAACAGAACAGCAACACATGAAATGAAATGTTTCAGCCAATCGTGGACAAGCAGCTAGCGCCCTATTATACAAAAGCGGTCAGGCAGTGCCGTACCCCCCCTGTTCACCGTTCACGGGCTCGGTGAACGAGGGCTCGGCAGTTCATGGAGTTCACGGAGAGCGGGATCGGGTTTCTTTTTTTTTTCTTGGCTGCGGGGGTTGCTTTTTTTTATATAGGAGGGTGGGGGTCATCCCAGGGTAATCCCCCATATTTAAAAAAAATAAATAAAATCACAAACAATATAATTTTTCAAAATTTTCAATGAAAAACGAAAAACAAAATGCAACCAGCCAAAATAGGCATTTTTGTTTGTTGTTTTGTAGGTTATTCCGATTTTTTTTTTTTTTTTTTTTTTTT